AAGAAAAAAAGAATACTTTGTCACCAATAGTTTTGAATGGACAATTTAATTTTTGTAAAAAATATTTTCCAAGTATATTCTGAAGAAGAATTAGTCAGCTAGGAAAAACAAAGCGGACAGAATCACAGGGTGCAGGAGAGAGATACACGCCAAATGCTGAGCTATAATGTAAGTCTTGCAATGAAAAAATATAAACTCATAGTTATGAACTCTAGACCAAGTTTGAAAATGTGAGGTCTGTTATAGCAGGCACCAGGGAGCACTAATTCTAATTGCAAAACTGTTAGCATCTTAACTGTGTGTTTTTACACATTTATGCATTTCACCTATTTCATTTCACACACTCGGGTATTTCTCAAACATTTCTCCTTGGATCTGAAATCTTCTGTGCTTCCTCTTTGACTGATTTTGAATACTGGGAGAGTACAAAGACTGAAATTTGCAATGTGGCACCGGGCCCTCTTCTTTTCCAGATTGTTTGCACTACCCTAGACAACAACAAGATCATTCTGAACATTGATAACAGCAGGATGATAGCTGATGACTTCAGACTGAAGTGAGTACCTCTCTGTACCAGTCAAACACTGTCATTCTCCTCCTGTTCCCTCACATCCTATTTACAAATTGACAAACGAAGAAATCACCCAACCAAGAATTACTTATCCTATTCCCAAATTAAGATATCTCCTAATGGGGGGGTTACTGGAATTTCCAAATCGGGACAGATGGTATTTTTGTGAGATTTTATTATTGTTAATTATTTATAACATCATGGCACCTATGAGCCACGTTATGGACCATTGTGCTAGGCACTGTACAAACACAGAACAAAATGACACTCACCACCCCGAAAGAGCCGACAATCCCATTAGAAGACAAAAGACAACAATGGATACAGACAGATCAATGCGGGAGTACTCAGGAACAATGACACATAATTGGTGGTCTCAGATTTTGAGATGTGCCTTCGGTCTTTGGCTCCAGAGGTGCCAGAATAGGGGCATTTCTAGGACAGAGTGTTTGAGTCAACAAAGAGTTTGCTTGTGGGGTTTAGGGGGCTAAAGTATAGGGACAATGGATGTATGTTGGCATGAGTCCATTGAAGACAATGGAGCTATGCACATTTATACCAACTGAGAGTTTGACCCACAGATTTAAAAAAAAAAAAAGAGTTTAGATTATTTCCCAGGGGAAGTGCAGAAAAATCAATGTGGGACATCTCTGTAGTAGTTCCAGTAGAGAGGAGAGGGGCAAAAAAAGCTGAAGAAGGTCTTTTATGAACCAAACATCACATCCCTGCCTTTGAGCACACAGATAGACCAGGCAGCAGACCTAGTGTGTTATACTTTAAGCACAGCTATAAAGGTAAAGCTGAAAGAAGGGAAACCCAGACCCATTCATAACCAAAGTGCAGATGCCAGGAATCCTCAATGGTGGGCTCAGCCAGGGGCTGACTTTTCTGTCTTTCTTGTCCACGGCTTAGGTTTGAGACTGAGCTGGCCCTTCGCCAGAGTGTGGAGGCCGATATTAATGGCTTACGCCACGTTCTGGATGAACTGACCCTGTGCAGGTCGGACCTGGAGGCGCAGCTTGAGTGCCTGAAGGAAGAGCTGTGCTGTCTGAAGAAGAACCATGAGGAGGTAGGAGCAGGGCCGGTGCAAGGAAGTTTCACGCCCTAGGCGAAACTTCCACCTTGCGCCCCCCCCCCCAGCCCTGCGGCAGCTCCCCGCCTCCCCCCTCCACCCTGAGGCGCCACTCCCCGCGGCAGCTCCCCCCCCGGGGAGCCGTGCGGCAGCTCCCCACCCCAGTTCACCTCTGCTCTGCCTCCTCCCTGAGCACGCTGCCCCCACTCTAATTCTCCTCCCCTCCCAGGCTTGCGGTGCCAAAGAGCTGATTGGCGCTGCAAGCCTGGGAGGCGGGAGAAGTGGAGCGGCGACCGCGCGCTCGGGGCGGGGGCATAGGAATGCTGTAAAAAAAAATTGGGAGCACCGCTTTTTGGCACCCCCAAATCTTGGCGCCCTAGGCAACCGCCTACTTTGCCTAAATGGTAGCACTGCCCCTGGGTAGGAGCTCATTCCCTTAAATGGATTTTTTTAAAAATTTTGTACATTACTTCCTACAGCAGTGGGGACCTGATCCTTATTAAAACACCGGGCCATGAGTGCAACTACGACCAAGAGAATATTAATAATAATCTGCATTATTATGATATTGCTCCTTTCACAAACCCCGTTGCCTAATCATATTCATTCTAATTTAAAATATAAAGAGGGTGTATCCTGTGCCGGAGTAATTGTCACAGGCAGCCCAAGAGCTCACGTCCAGCCCTGTAAGGTTTGGGAGCAATGGAGTTGAGTCTTAATGTTAAGCTTCTGGGAGCTCCTGGGCTCTGCAAAATGGGAAGGGGAGAGAGCTACCAGAGACACTAGCAGTGAGTTGGATAAATCTTCCAGCTGATTTGTCACGGACTGATAAAATAACTTTTCTCTTCTTTGGCATATTCCATCCAAAGAACTTAACTCAAAACAGTGCAAATGTTTCATTGCAATGAATCAGTATTAACAACTCCACTGTGAGGTTGGTAGTATTCTCTCTATTGTGAAGCCAGGATATCTAAGGAACAATTAAGAGAAGAGTCTGCCTAAGATCCCTCGGAAACTCTGGAGCAAATCGAGGCATAGTAGGTCAGGAGCTCTAACCGCTGAACCAAGCTCACTTCTCTTAAAACATAATAATGAAAGGAAGCAATATTCAAAGAGCCAACACATTGAGACTAAACTAAGCTAAGGCAGTAGAAATGGGCTGACTGGATTTGGAGTACAGAAGAGACACACACAAAAATGGTAGCTGTTGTGAAAATATAATCTGTTAACAGCGGAATGTGGCTATCAAGGAAAACACCTCTTATGCAGAATCCAGGTCACAAAGTGACACAATGACCCAGGTGAAAATGAAGTATAAAACACGTTAATTTTTCCAGCAAAAATAGTCAGGAATTCTTTAATTTGCTGTGATTAACCATCACACATCCCAATAAACACCCACTGTTTCTTTACCACAGGAGTGCTCACTGTGGAGTTTTGCTTGGAAATCATCTGTGGTTTCCCACTCAGGGCTGGGTCTATCCTGGACAAGATGCATCAGAGACAGTGTCAGAAATGGGCCCCAGGATGCAGAGGCTCACTGACAGTGGCATGCTGCTCTCGCTCGCCCGAGAACTCAACTCACGATTTTTTCTTTTTAAACAAGCTGATCTGGGTTATCTTTGCAGGAAATCAATTGTCTGAGAAACCAGTCCACTGGTGATGTCAGCGTGGAGGTCAATTCCTGTCCTGGCCCAGATCTGAAGAAAATCCTAGAGGAGATGAGATGCCAGTATGAAACAATGATTGCACAAAATCGCAAAGAGGTTGAGGACTGGTATGAATGCAAGGTAAATTCATCACAACCGTAACTCTCTCAAGCAAAAATACAGGAGCTATTTCAGAATCACAAATTCACGCCATGGGGAGAATTTATTCCTGTAACATATGTTCCAAACATGATCAGCACAGATGTATAGTGACCAGGTGCACAGGGGATAGAGGCCCTGTGCATGTTCAGTGCATGTGTCTCAGAGAAGAACAGGGTTTGCTACATGTCATTAATGAGGTGTGTTGGTGGAACAGTGGGCGAGCCTCTCAGTTAGGACAGAGGAGAATTACTGGTGAAGTTGTGCGGGGTCTTAGCATTGGAATAGCAAGGGGAGTTACAAGCAATAGATGAGATCGATTCCAGTGTGCAGAAAACTTGCCCAGCCCCTGCCTATCTTACATCTTTTGTCACCCACTCCTAGATCCTCCTGACAATTAAAAATCCCGCTGAAGCTCTTTATTCTGTGTTTCTGGTTTTCAGATTGAGGAGGTGAATCGTGAGGTCATCACAAGCAGTCAAGAGGTTGAGTCGTGCAACAGCCAGGTCTCTGAACTTAGACGTCAGTTGCAGTGCCTGGAGATAGATCTGCAAGCCCATCTTAGCCAGGTATGTGATGTTGTCACCATCGATATCTCACCTGTGACACACTGACGTCTGGATTTCTGGACCGATGGGGACCAGCCTGGCCTGGCACTTCACGTAGCAGTGACGATATCGCTGACAAACCCATTGTTAGCAACGATTTGCTTTTATTTTTGCCTAGGAAATCCTCAACTTCCTGCATCCAAATGGGTTCAATTTAGAGCATGGCTAACATACATGTGGGTTTTTTGCTTCAATTCTTAGAGGGACAACCTGGAAGCCTCTTTGGCTGAAACCGAAAGTCGCTACAACAGCCACCTGTGCCAGTTACAGCAACAGATCACCTGTGTGGAGCAGCAACTGGCTGAGCTGCGAGCAGAAATTGAGTCCCAGAACCACGAGTACAAGGTCCTCCTGGATGTCAAATGTCGACTGGAGCAGGAGATTCACACTTACCGCTGCCTGCTGGAAGGAGGACAGCGTGACATTGTGTACGTAGACTACAGACACAGCGGGGCATAAAGCAAACACCTATGCTGTGATCTGTGCAATGTGTGAGTTCTAAAATCACAGAGAGTGTGGAGATTCAGTGTACATAGGTATCCAAAGCTTGAGCCAAACCTCATTCCCTCCTTGTGGGTCGGCAGATTGGAGAACTTCTAATGAGACGAGGTACCTTCCAATACTGTAACTTATGGTATAGCACCATCTCGTATTGTTGTGCACTTCCTGGTATGTGCTGGGCAACAACTACCACAAGGAGAGGACTAAGTGCAATATTTTGCCATTTCTGCTCCTGACAGAAGCACGGTGTGCAGAGGCAGCTGTGAAAATGAGAGAGAATTGTAAGAAGAGATTAACTTAAGTATTTCAAACCCGCAGAAAAGACCCAGTGTGAGATTTTGCCAAAAGTCCAGGTCATTCCTTCGTTTATCCCAAGCATCTGGCATGTCCCCAACTCCACTTTGTTCTGAAACAAGCAGTATAAATAATTAGGCAAAGATTTTCCTGATTTGGAAGCAAGGGATACAGCAGACCTGGTTAAAAAGCCGATTGGCAATGGCAGCCTATGACTAATTCATCCTTTGTGGGCAAAGTTAGTGGGGAGAATGAGTGGCCTTGTAGTGATGTGCATGGATGAAGTGGAGTGAGGGTGCTGGGGAGGCGTGCTGGCCAGGTCCTGGCTCTTTGCTGGACTGGGAGCGACTGATGACAGGAAAAGTCACATGGCTTCACTGAACCTACAATGCCGTTGTAAGGTTGGTTTCTGTTTCATTCACCAAACATTCTTTCCTTGTCACAGTGGCTCGGAAGGAGGGTATGGCGTAGCAGGTGGAATAGGAGGAGGAACAGTCATTAAAACTTCCCACTCCTACTCTTCATCTTCCCACTCTCTCCCCCATGTCACGTCTTGCCACCCTGGTGATCTAAAAGGTAAGAACTGACTTACCGGATAAGGGAACATGTTTTTTTAGTCCTCTTCTTACCAATAGGGCAAGAGAGACGCTGTCAAACCCACTCTCTGTTAGGTGGTTCTGAGGTGCTGTGGCCCAGCTTTCAGGACCCTGCTGTAAGGCAACTGGAGAGTCTGGTAGGACATGGTGACACAACAGTGGTCTGGTATGGGGGTGTTGGCAAGAAACAGGATCAAATGCAGCTGTGACTCTCTCCCTATGAATTATGAATGTTGCAAGTGAGGGAGAAGAGAGCTAAAAGAGAGGGAGGAGGAAAGAGGGAAAAGAAAGAAGTAGCCGGAAGTGGAAGCAGTGAGAGAGAGGGAGAGACTCTAGAGAACTTGGAGAAAGAGGCTGGAAATGGAGGCTGGGTGTTTTGTAGGGCGAAGGAGTAGGTGAAACGTCCTCAAAACAGAGAGACGGAACCAACGAGGTGTTGGTGGGGGATGGGAAAATGGATCCAAGGCCACAAACAGTATCTCCGGGAGGTCCATCCAGCCGAGGGGGGAGCCCGACAATTTACAATTTACATAGGGGATGGACGAGGCCAGGGGGAGGGCACAAGGAGCTGCGCTCGTGCATTCCCAGCACAGCGGCTGGCCCGACCTGCGGGGTTTGTATTCTTTTCTTGTATTCTAAACACATAAACAATTTGGGGGAAGTTCTGGAGCTCATCAGAATTTATAGTCAGCAGGGTGTCTGTGTGCAGTCCCCACTCTCAGGGTATATCTCAAAGCCTGATGCTGCAGGGAAGGTTTTACTTCCTTTCTAAGCAAAGTAATGGCTCTATTTATCCCTCTCCAGGGCACGGCAGAAAGATTTGTGACTAAGAAGCTAAACCGGCATCTTCCAGAGCAAGACCCACCGAGCAAGGACCAACCCATAGACAAAGCGAGAGCTCAGCCAGCACATTCACTGTGCACTTCTGCAAAGAGCATGGAGAAGAGCTCTTCAGAATTACTCAACGCTGCTAATGCCAACACTACTGTCCTAAGGGGCCCAGCTGAGCTTTGGTCCACCTTCCTGCCTATCATGCTATTTGCTTCTTCCATTCTGTGATGCTCTGTGTGTCAATCACAATAATTATTTACTTACTTGAGTTAATCTGTACCGTGGTTGGTAATTTACCTTCTGCTGAAAAAGTGTCTCTAATAAAACTTTGCTTCTGCCTGATGCAATCAAGAAACCTGTGTCTGGGAAATGATTTCCTCTATCAAACTTTTCAGTGGTTTCTGGTACCGGGTTAAACACAAAGCCATGTGCTCAGATAGGTCTGTTAGACTGTGCCATAGTCCCCAAAGGGAAGTGGTGGAAGCCTTATCCCAATTACTTAAGGAGAACAATTTTGCTTTGGCCAATGTGGCTGAGGGAATGGACTAACTAACTTAGCACGTCTTTTGCAGCCGTAACTTCTATGTCAGACATTGCCTGTTACTGTATAAACTGCTATTGTTCACAGTCTATATGTACAGCGCATACGGGCAGGTTTATGTGGGTTTCTTTCAGAACACTATGCTAAATTTTAGGTTTTTTTTTTTTTAAAAGGTGAACTGAGCACAGCTGAAAGAATCTGGCTGACAGCTGTGGAGACTGAATGCCTCAGTATAATACTAGAAGACAGGCCTGGTGACTTCTAGGGTGTTCCCTACGAAATGGACTAAAGTAACCAATTCCCTTCACACAGGTCACTGGGCTATTCCTTTGGTCACTACCAGTCAAATTGAACTCAGCCTAGTAATTTAAAGGCGAAAGGTTATGTAAGCCATTACCAACCCCCGAACAATCCAGTCCCTCTCTGAGCCACACACTGGGTATGGTTCTCAACGGGTTTGTGACAGTTTTTTTCAGAACCTGGTCATCTGTGTTTGTGCGCTGGGGCCTCACTTGAACCAGACACATTTTCTCAAATTCTAAGATTTTGTGAAACTACAGTTTCAACTCAGAAGTTGGAGTGGGACAGTGGCCATCTTGAAAATGTTCCTTTTATGGGTAGAAATTAGATGGGGAGAAAAGAGGCTGAGAGAGAGAGAATGTAACATTTTATATGTAATATTTATGTTATTGAATCCATATTTCACATATAATGGATGCACTTAAAATTCTGATTTTAGTATTACTAGTTCCAGAAATATTCCCCATTTTAAATATTGCTGGAATGTGTAATACCTTTAAAACCAGAATGAACTATTTAAATGTGCCCACTGAACAGAGCCCTTTGGCATTGTGGTAGAGAGCAAGGAAGATGCTATCGCTGTAGCGCATGTTGGTGAGGAGGGCAGAATGTAGTCAAGGGAGTTGGGCCATTAGATGCAGTACACAACAAGCAGTGTCCACACTGTGGCAAGCCGACGGGCCATGGTCTGAGCAAACATCCAATGAAAGTACTGTAGAAGCGTGTCTGGAGCACTCACAGGTAGTTAGCATTTGGCCAGGTTATTCCAAGAAAGAAATAAAGAGGAAGCCATCCGGGTTCATCTACCAACTTCCTAAACACAGCATCCCACAATTGTACATTGCATGCTGACAGTCACAAATACCATCTGAAGTAGCAAGAACTTTGCTGGCTTTTGTTTTAAAACAGGACCTTACAGATGTTTCAGTGACTGTACAGATGGAGTTATATGTAAAGACTAGGACTGTCAAGTGATTAAAAAATTAATCGTGCGATTAAACAATAATATTTTTGGATGTTTTCTACATTTTCAAATATATTGATTTCAATTACAATACAGAATACAAAGTGTACAATGCTCCCTTTATATTTATTTTTGATTACAAGTATTTGCACTGTAAAAAAACAAAAGAAATAGTATTTTTCAATTCACCTAATACAGTACTGTAGTGCAATCTCTTTATCATGAAAGTTGAACTTACAAATGTAAAATTATGTAAAAAAATAACTGCATTCAAAAATATAACAATGTAAAATTTTAGAGCCTGCAAGTCCACTCAGTCCTACTTCTTGTTCAGCCAATCGCTCAGACAAACAAGTTTGGTTACATTTGCAGGAGATAATGCTGCCCGCTTCTTGTTTACACTGTCACCTGAAAGTGAGAACAGGCATTCTCATGGCACTGTTGTAGCCAGCGTCACAAGATATTTATGTGCTAGATGCACTAAAGATTCATATGTCCCTTGATGCTTCAAACACCATTCCAGAGGACATGCGCCTATGCTGATGACGGGTTCTGCTCGATAACAATCCAAAGCAGAGCGTACTGATGCATGTTCATTTTCATCATCTGAGTCAGATGCCACCAGCAGAAGATTGTTTTTCCTTTTTGGTGGATTAGGTTCTGTAGTTTCCACATCGGAGTGTTGCTCTTTTAAGACTTCTGAAAGCATGCTCCACACCTTGTCCATCTCAGATTTTGGAAGGCACTTCAGATTCTTAAACCTTGGGTCGAGTGCTGTAGCTATCTTTAGAAATCTCACATTTGTACCTTCTTTGCGTTTTGCCAAATCTGCAGTGAAAGTATTCTTAAAATGACAGGTTTCAGAGTAGCAGCCGTGTTAGTCTGTATCCGCAAAAAGAACAGGAGTACTTGTGGCACCTTAGAGACTAACAAATTTATTAGAGCATAAGCTTTCGTGGGCTACAACCCACTTCTTCGGATGTGTTGTAGCCCACGAAAGCTTATGCTCTAATAAATTTGTTAGTCTCTAAGGTGCCACAAGTACTCCTGTTCTTATTCTTAAAATGAACAACATCTGCTGGGTCATCATCCGAGACTGCTATATCATGAATATAGGGCAGAATGCACGTAAAACAGAGAAGGGGATATACAATTCTCCCCGAAGGAGTTCAGTCATAAATTTAATTAATGCATTATTTTTTTAACGAGTGTCATCAGCATGGAAGCATGTCCTCTGGAATGGTGGCCGAAGCATGAAGGGGCATACAAATGTTTAGCATATCTGGCACATAAATACTATGCAATGCCAGCTACAAAAGTGCCATGCAAATACCTGTTCTCACTTTCTGGTGACGTAAATAAGAAGAGGGCAGCATTATCTCCTGTAAATGTAAAAAAACTTGTTTGTCTTAGTGATTGGCTGAACAAGAAGTAGGACTCAGTGGACTTGTAGGGTCAGAAGTTTTACATTGTTTTGGTTTTGAGTGCAGTTATGTAACAAATAAAATCTACATTTGTAAATTGCACTTTCACGATAAAGAGATTACACTACAGTACTTGTAGGAGGTGAATTGAAAAATACTATTTCTTTTGTTTATCATTTTTACAGTACAAATATTTGTAATAAAAAATAATATACACTTTGATTTCAATTACAACACAGAATACAATATATATGAAAATGTAGAAAAACACCCAAAATATTTAATAAATTTCAATTGTTATTCTATTGTTTTACAGTGCAATTAAAACTGCGATTAATTTTTTTAATCCTGATTAATTTTTTTGAGTTAATCGCGTGAGTTAACTGCGATTAATCAACAGCCCTAATAAAGACACAATATGGTGAACCAATAAGTATGAGACCATGCCATGTGGAAGTGAATTTTACATACACAGATGCCAACTCAGCAGATACACAGACCTAAAAGGAAGTGTGTTTGCATGTGTGTGTGTTTGTGTGCATGTGCATGAGTCCTGGGAAGCTACTCAGATCCTGAGTATTAGGCCCTTGGTAACGGCCACCTTTAGCTGGTAAATATGCTTTGCACTGAAGCAACTCTCTCTCCCGGAATAGCAATAGTGCACAGTAAGTCTGAAAGACAGCTGCTGTGATGGGGAAGAAAGGGCATGTGGAGAATTTAAAGGGGCAGGGGGAAGACTAGGGGCGCAAATGGAGATCTTTGATGTACAGAACCGTCCTGCCTTCCAGCTGTTATTTACAGGATGAAGATCTTTCTCTCCTCTCAGTAAAAAAGGACTATCATTCTTTTAACTTGTCTAAGTGAATGGGGGTAATACTGTGTATGCCACATGTCAGTGATGTGCATAGATTATTCTAGAGCAGGGGTTCTTAAACTTCATTTCACTGCGACCCCCTTTTGACAACAAAAATTACTACATGACCCCAGGAGGGGGGACCAAAGCCTGAGCCCACCTAAGCCCCACCACCCCAGGCCAGGGGGGGCAAAATCCGAGCCCCACCGCCCTGGTAGGGAGGGCCAAAGCCAAAGCCTGAGCCCCATCACCCCAGATTGGAGGGGGAGGGGGTGCAAAGCTAAAGGGCTTCAGCCCCAGGAGGGGGACTGGTAACCTGAGCCCCGCCACCCAGAGCTGAAGCCGTTGGGTGGGGCTTGGGCTTTGGTCCTGGGCCCCAGCAAGTCTAACACCAGCCTGGCTACCCCATTAAATTGGGGTTTGAGAACCCCTGTTCTAGAGTGTCCTCTGTACAGTGCATTCCCGTAGCTCGTACGGCAGGCCAGGACACTGCTCCTGCTCAATGCTTTGCTAATTTTTAAAACATATACATACCTTAAGAATGATCTTCACTCACAAAGTGTCTCGATAAATCAGAGTCTATATTTTCCATGGATGGTGAATCCTTGGCTACAAATTTTCTTCATCCCTATCTTTGGCCAGTGCAGCCCAAACTTTCTGAGATCTCGAATATCATGAGCAGGACTTTGCAAAGATATAAAAATCAGCCCAGGTTCAGCCCAATGGACAGTATTTAAAAAGATAAAACTAATTTGTAATGCAGAGTGGTCTTGCTAAATACAAACAGAAATATAATGGCTGCAGTTGCTAAAATCAAGCCTGGAAAACCTGCCTTATGATGAGAGACTCAAGAATCTCTATCTATTCAATTTATCAAGAAAGAAGGTTAAGAGGGGATTTGACCATGGTCTATAAATACACTGGAAGAAGATTTTGGATAGGTTTCTGATTTTCTTCAATCCAGCAGACAGAAACAC